TAGTCTTTTCAAAACACAGAGAGCAGAAACAGTCGTACATAAGAGTGCATTCCTGATATCAATATCATATGAATGGTACATAATAAGAAGAAGAGATAAATCTATCAATATCTCTATGTTGGGTACATGGATTAAGAGGCTAATGTCGAAGTTCATATAGGAAGGAAGAAAGCAGATAATTGTTGTATATGAAGAGGAAGAGAAAGAGAGAAGAGAGAAGAGGAAAAGTATACAATCATAGATTGTCATAACACCAAATATCTATCGTTTGAAACTTAAATTCAACAGTCTACTCTTCCGTTCAATTATTCGAGTATTCGTACACTTGCGAGTGAGTAAAAGGGTTCTGAAGGGACATCATTTCAGTGAAGATGAACAGAAGAGTTTTGAAAGCAGTCGAATATTCACATAATTGAAAAAAGACAGCAAAAATAGTTGAATAGTTGAGTCGAAATTTCGAGTTTCGCATCACTAAAAGACGCAAGGATCATAGTAGCTATTCATAGCGGACTGCTGTTGCACGTGTGAAAAATGATCATGAATAATGGACATTACGTAAATAACAAGAACGGTGACAGTTATTTGGTTAGTTTTGAAAAAGGTTGAAATTGACAAGGACCGTTCTCGAGACATCATTTGGAAGCGCAAGTTTTATCTGAAGTATAACCCAATCAGTCGAGGGTAATGCGAGTCTCCCTCGACGAGCGTTATTTTATTTTGTTCAATTGTTTCAAATTGTTTTAAATATCGTTTTTTCTTTTATTGAAACTTTTTCAAAAAAGAATCATTTTTATTTCAAATTCGGAATTATTATGATGTTTTTTTAATGAAAAATTAAATCAAACCTTTGAACTCGATGATTTTCCCATTCAGCAACATAAAGATTTCCTTGAAGATCAAATGATAAACCTTGAGGATATGACAATTGATTTGACTGTTGACCATTTCCATTTCCACCAACAATTATTTCACCCTCTTTCCCTCCTTCATACCAACGCATTATTCGATGATTGTAAGTGTCTGAAACATAAATTCGACCAAAATCATCAACAATTATTCCTTGGGGAAAAGCCAATTGATTGAGATAAAATCCACTTCTATTTCCACCTGCAACAACAATCCCTTCTTTGGCATCTTTTTCCCATTTCATTACACGATGATTGTTATAATCAGAAACAAAAATCGATTGTTCATCATTAACAACGATAAAACGAGGAGAATTCAATTGATCAGTTCTGTTTCCTCTTCCATTTCCACCAGCAACTAATTTTCCTTCCCCCTTTTCTCCAATTTTCCATCTTCTAACTTCATTTTTATCTGTGTCAGAAACATAAAGAAATCCAAATTTATCCTTTGTTAAACTCCAACATGAAATATTATCAATGAGAATTTCTTGTTGATTTTGATTCCACCATCGAATAACTCGTTTATTTCTTGAATAAGCAATGATCAACGAATTATTTTCTTCATCATAAATCACATCTGTTGGTGAATTCAATTGATCAGTTTTATTTCCATTTCCATCTACAACAATTTTCCCTTTGTTTTCATTGATTTTCCATTGAACTATTCGATCATTCTTAGAATCTGCAATAAAAATATTCTGATTTCTATCAATAAATATTCCTCGAGGATGAGAGAGTTGATTTAAATCACTTCCTTTTCCATTTCCACCGGCAATATTTCGACCGAATTGATTCCATTTATTGAATTTAATTTCTAAAAAAATAATAAGAAAAAAAAGGAAATTTTATTATTTTGTTTGATACATTTGTTTTTGTTTTATCATATGGAAATAAGAAAATCTTCGAAGAAAATTTTCTTATTGATTTAAGAGAAAAAAACAGCTTAAAATTTTTATCTTAACTTCAAAAAAAGATAAGATCATCATATAAGACTTCCAACGCATATTCTCACTAACTGACTTATATAATTTCATGTTTTTTAATATATGTATAGTAAAACTATCTTCATATTGTAATAATATTCTTTCATCTTGCTCGTTAAATTTCCATTGTTTCAAAACATATAATAATGAAATTATCTTTTGTAATCTCTATTTTCATTATAGTCGTAGTAATTGTGATCATTATGGTTATGGTACGTTGTGACACTATTTATGAACACAAAAAAGATGTAAATTGCAAAAGTGAGCATAGATCACACATTATCCTGCGTACCGTTTGATTGTAATGGACAAATAGTTTCATTCATCATTGACAATGGATAACAAACAGGATAACTATTACATCGATGATGATGAACACAAATATGATCTCGTTTATAACATTCTTGTGATGATTCACATGAAACAAGCTCAGAACAAAACTTCCAAAGAAATGCGCAGATACCAACGTTATCAGCGCCTGCCATAGGAAAACATCCACAGGCACTATTTTTTGAGCATCGACTATATGGAATTGTACTATTACATATAAGTGAGTTCACTTGAACTATTTAGACATGATTATATTATAAACACATTTATGAAATAAAAACTGAATACAAACTTATAAAACTAAAATGAAAATGAATTAATTAGAATATTTGTAAAAACGAAGAATATTTGAATACTTTAGCAGAATAAGAGAGAAACATTTCGTTGTTATCTTTCTCATTATTGTAAACCGAATTAAAATGATAAATTTTTTAAAATATATTGTTACTAATAGTTACAATAATATGTAAAAATTGAAATTGTGTTGTATAATCTTTCAATAATTGAAATAACAATAATATTTGTTTCTATTGTAATCAGTGACGAACATAGCAGGAGTGGAGATTATGGGGATCAGTCTTCTCCCAGAAAAAGATTTATTAGTTTTTTTAATGCTTTTAATGAATAACAAAAGAGTATTTGAAGTTATATTTTGTGAAACTCACATATGTTTCTCAAAGAAAAACTGTCAGTGAAAATTTAAGTCAAGAATTTTTTGGACAACCTCCTCCGCTCCATTTCGTGGAGACATTATAACAGCCAGCGGCGTGAATGAAAATTCTAAATGATAAATATTTTTATTCAAAGTTCAATTATCATATGTGATGATATTGACGATAGAGAGCAGCATGAGATAAATTGTATTAATTCAATATTTCTTGTAAGTGGTAGACTGAGATAAAAAAGTCGAAACGTCGAAAACGCAAAAAACAAGAAATCAACAATTTGTTTTGAAGTCATCAACGAAAACAAAAAAAACTGTCTATTCGTTATGTCAGTCTACCACTTACAAGAAATATTGAATTGATACAATTTATCTCATGCTGCTCTATCGGTGTGAAGCTAGCACCATCGAGCTAGCACCATCAAACTAAGCATTTTCTGAAAACGAATTCCGGTCGATAAAACCGAGTGTATTCGATGCAGAATTTAATTCTGAGTCCAATGGTGACATTTTTATTCACCGGAAAACGTTCGGAGAAAAATTTTCTTTGATCTTTCTTTATCCATGATACATGTATATGCATCGTTTTTCGGCCGTCGGCACGCANCGTTCGGGTTTAAAGTTGGAATAGATCCAACTTGAGTTTGGAAACAGAAATAGACAAAAATTCTCTACGAAAAATAGAATTTGTCCAAAATTGTGGCGTGTTGTTGAATTCTTTTTTGAAAGGTGAAAAGTTCGTTAAAACTTAGGCTCGTATTGAGAAAAGTTCATTGAACTTATTTTGAACATTTCCAGATGACATAGATAGAAAATAACGCCAGAAGTAATTTTTGAAAAAATATGTAATGTTTTTTATCACTTGCAACGGAGACACTTATACTCTTCATTTTTCTTTCGGAGATGAACAGCATATAGATCAAAATACATGTATACCTAGTATTTTTTATGGGCTATCCAACCATATGAGAAGCAGGAGAAATAAACCAATTCCAAGAACATAGTATAAAACATTATCAGTGCAAGTTTTTTTGACTACAGCTGTATTTCTATTCACATTCCAATTTGGAATTTTCTTTTCCCAATTTTTTTTGAACTTTTGACACCAATATTAGATTGTTGCGCTTTTCATTTGGCTGGAATTCGATAAGAATCTGGGGCTTATTTTTTCTAAAGGTTGCTTCCAATGTAAATTTCTCTGTATGTAATTCTTCCACTAATTGGATACTGATAACGAAATTATTGATCGTAATATTTCTATCCGAGCCGTACGTCGGTTTCATTAATTGTAAAACAACATTAGCACCAACAAATCGTTGCTATTGTTCATTAGGTTGTCGTCGTTATAAGGATAGTAAGGATCGACATCAACACAGAGCGAGAAGCACGTATGCAATATTATTAGTATGCAACAAATTTTCCTTCGTTGTTGAATCACTCAGGAAAACACAATAATAAAGCTACTTTATATGATAATCAGATCCTTATCATAGCCGGCTGGTCTGGCATTGAGAAAAAGTGTGCTGAACTCATCTTTACAAATGGCCTTTTTCTGTCACGAATAAAAACTGTTACTTGTCTTCTACCTTTCAAAAAAAATCCAGCACATTTAGTTGAAGAGCTATGAAAATATTCAAATTTTCCTACCGACTCTAGTGACTCTCTGGACATTCTATAGCATGATTCATTCGTCTGCAAGCAATTAATCGAAAAGATGTTTAAAATAGTAAGTTGCAAAGTAAAAACTACAGATGACACATGTGTTTTGAATGTAACATAGTATAGAGTGTAAATGAGAATTTGAACATTATTTTGACTTGTGCCTTCATTTTCACTTTCATCGAGATATTTCTTATTGAAATATACTCAATATAGGATAACGTAATTCTTTATAATAAAGATAAAACATTCAATTTGAAGATTATAACTAAATATATTATCTTTTTTATTGTACGATACATTTCAGTACTTTCGAAAGGGACACTAGAAGAAAACTTTTAAAGAAAATCTTGTATAAATAAATTTGTGATCGAAAAATGACAAAAGCAAAAATCAAAACCTTTCAGTCATTACTGGTAACGATACAACACTCATTTCTTGCAATGGATTATCAATTTCTGAAACAGGTCTTGATGAATGTGGCGTTGTTTGTTCAATTGCAGGAAATCTCAACGGTTCTGCTGATGTTTGTAGCATCGAAACTACTGGCGGAAATGTATGTAAATCAAATGAAGATTCGGCAATTAATTCTTGATCAACGAGCATTGGACAACAAAAGTATTGTAGACTTGGATTACGCAAACAACAATCACAACTGTACAATATAAAAGTTAGAACCCAATTTATAATTATACTTATATAAGAAAATTTGTATAAAGTCTCTTGACAATAAGTCTCAGTGATATTAGAATGATCGTATTGAACACGAGACTGAACTTGATATACCCAAACATTACCCTAAAAACTATAAATATATCTATAGCAATACAAGAAGAAATGGCCACATACAGCAATAAACCAAATAAAAGAAAACAGACGATAAGGTATTTTTATTGAAAATGCACAACAATTAATTGCGCAATTTGTTGAAATACAGCATTTAACCAACTGTACAGTATTTCGCGCCAAAGCAATATAATTAACCAATTTCTAAGAAAGAACAATGGTTAATATATGATAAATATATATTCGTTTACCAGAAATATATTTATCCCTAAGAATATAAATGATCCAGCGCTTGAAACAAGTAAATATATTGGAATGAATCGTTGTATTGGACATTGATGTATAAATACGACACCAATCACAAGTTGACATATTGGTGATACAAAATAGAACCAAGATTTATAAATATACCAAATTAAATCAATTATAATAGTTATTGGCGTATAAAATAATGATTCGGGTTTTTTCTCTTCTGCATTATTATGAAAATCAAAAGTATCCATTAAAAAAACACCAACTAAATCGATTAATGTAATCAACAAGTTTGATCAAAATAATAAATATTCATTTATAAAGGAAAAACCCACTTACAATATTTATGCGTCGTTATCTTATTTCTCCATGCGTGACTCTTTCCAACAAAATAATCTATCGATAAATGTAAATGTATATCATTTGCAATAGATTTATATGAATAAACAACGATGCAGTCTCTTTCATCATTTTGATGAAGATGATTTACCTTCTAAAATTTTCATGGATTTTTTCACGTTTTATAACGAAGAACTTCAATACACACGATATCTTTGCGATGATTTATCTGATTTTATTTGGTTTCAAGCATTTCGTAATACACTCGATAAAATACCAACTACAAAACATGCGAAAAATTTAATGCTCAATCATTGTCGACATCGTTATCGTGATAATAAACGAATGCTTGAACAAATTGATCAATTTCAAAAAGAATATACAGTTAATGATGCTATTAACTGGTATACACGTCCAACATTTATCTTTGACGTCGTTAATACAGCACTAAGAACAAATGCAATGGAAGATATGTATAGTTTTCGATGGTATATTATTGATCTATCTCATTGTTTACGACAACAATGGGAAAAACAACGTTCTCAATTCGTTTCACCTTTGCATCTTTATCGAGGAATAACCATGACAAAAGTTATGTTTGATAAACTTCGATCCTATGACGTTGGAACTCTCATATCTGAAAGTAGTTTTTTATCAACAAGTTATCATAATGATATATCAGAAATGTTTGCTGGTAGTGGCACATTATCATCAAACACCGATCTTGTGTCCGTTTTATTTCATATCACTGTTATGGATGCACAAAATCCATATGGTCCAATATTTATTGATACTGCTTTTTACGCTGTTAATCCCGATGAAAGCGAGATCCTATTTGATATGTGTACTTTATTTCGAATAATGGATATTTCTTACGATGAATCAAAACAAACATGGAATGTTAAACTCATTGCTGTACCAAAAAATGAACCGAATTTTAATATACAGAAAAATTTTCGTCTATCTGATCATGAACAAAAGAAATTGTATGAAACATTTCAAAAACAAATGATGGGATGGCGCATGTTTCTGATGAAAGACGCTAGTGGTTCTTTGGTTAATAAAGTATTTTCTGATTTTGATTCTGATGGGGACGAAGGTAAGTTTCAACGTAATATGATAACTTCGTTTTTCGGTAAAACAATTAAATCACTGACGGCAAGTCAAACACGAACGGAAGTAGCAACGGCGACAGTAGTAACACTCGATATGACAAAGACATTTACACATAATAATTTGACAGTACATCAGCCAATACATCGACGATTTATTCAATGTTTTTCTAGAAATTGCTCTTCACTATTGCACAATGTTTTTCCACTCACATTTGATCAATTGGGAAAAAAGTTCAGACACTTTCCTTAATAATAATGAAAAATCAATATATCATCTTATTGCATCTGATGTTCATCTATTTCAATATCAATTTTCGAATAATATTCATGCAAAATAGAATGAACGCTTTAAACGGGGTATAAGTAGAAGATATTATTTTCTACTGAACATAGAAAAGTCAATGCATATAGCAAAAATAGAAAGTCAGTTTTATAATAGGATATAGGTATGTGACAGTTCTATATCAAATTATGGAACTAGAGCTGAAGAACCAGTTTTTTTATTCAACGCTGTCACATACTTAATTTTAACAATACAAATGACATATTATCAGTAACTGGGAAATGTAATCTCAGAGTAAATGTCTTAATAAAACTCTATATGATGATAATTATTAGATTTTTTTATCTTCATTCCCGAGAAGGCATGCCTACTCCCCACACACAACGCACAAAATTCAGAAAAATAATATCTTTTTTACGATCTAAATTACAATATACAGAAAGGAAAAAAATTACTTTCGTTTGAAAGCAATGACTCAATTGATTTTCACGTATCAAAAAAATAACCGAATGAAAAATACTGATTACCATAAAAACGTACAGAATCAAACATCATGGTTTTTTTTCTACTTCCTTTCAATAAATTGTGCAAGAACGTGAGCAAGTGACAAAGTGGATAATCAACTATATTTCAATTATTAACGTTATTAGATGATGGTCATCTGGAAGAAGTAACAGACATTGATAATAATAAGTTATGTAATACTACTAAGGTATGAAGGTGAGGGGTTGACGAACTGGAATGAAATGGGCCTAATAATTGGTATCTGTGACGATTTCAGATACAACAGATAAGATGTGTGGAGTGTATCGTTTATTCAATCCAAAGAAATTGCGGCTATGCTGTACTTTCCTCGTGCTTATATAGTTCTCGGTTCATACAGCATCACGCCACAGAAAAACACCAAACTCTCTGAAACAATATCTACGATGATCTATCGCTATCACTCGGCGAGGTATTAGGTCAACCGAGAAAGTCAAAACATATCCTGCATAGGTGTGAAGTTCAAAGGCCAACATCCAGGCCCAAAGGTCGATATTTAAGCCCGAAAATCAACCTTCCGATCTAAAGGTTGACATCCAATGCCAAAGGTCAACACTCAGGCCTAAAGGTTGACATCTAATTACAAGCAGAAAGGAAGAAAACAAACGATAGTTGTATATGCGAAGGAGAGGAAAGAAAAAGGAGAAGAGAAGGAAAGAAAAAGGAGAAGAGAAGGAAAGAAAAAGGAGAAGAGAAGGAAAGAAGAAGAGGTGTCAGTTTCATATAATTAAAATATTCAATTATAAATGGCTTCGGATTATTATTACTATGCAAAAGAATCATCTTATGAAAAAGATAGAAGAGCTGATGGTTATGGTTTACAACAACTATATGATAATGTCCATCCAAATGATGAACTAAAAGTGCATTCAAGTGCAAATATAAAAACAAGTAAATACCGCGTCTACACGAGACGTAATACAACAACAAATAATAACAACGACT